GTGACTAAAAAAACTCATTTATGATGCAAGATCCATTATTAGCAATTAAGGAAAGAGCATCGTCAATTCAATTTATGAAAAATCAAATACCTTTGTCTCAACAAAACTTCAATACCATGTAGTTCTAAAATTGTCAGGAGCCATGTGGGGTAGCAGGTTTTCAAACGAAAATAGTTAATTTATGATGCTAGATCAATTTAGGTAAACAATGATAGAGCATCATCTCTTCGAGTTGTCAACAATATATATCGACATGCTCGATATAAAATCTGCACTATTTAGTTAGCCAATTGTTAACATAGGCAAGTGGAGGGTACCGGAGTAATAAAACAAAAACCTTATTTATGATGTCAGATGAATTTTAAATAATCAGAGAAAGAGCATCATGATTTCAAGTTACGAAAAAATGAACACCAGTCGCGACAAAACGTCAATACCATATAGTTCGACATTTTCAGGAGGCATGTGGGGGTAACAGCTTTTCAAATGAAGATAGATAATTTTAAGATGCTATATCAACCAAAATAATCAACGAAAGAGCATCATCACTTCATGTTCTTAACAATCGATTACGACATGCTCGATATAATATCGGTACCATATAAATCGCCAATTGTTACCAATGGCGAGTGAAGGGTACCGGTGACTAAAAAAACTCATTTATGATGCAAGTTCTATTATTAGCAATGAAGGAAAGAGCATCGTCAATTCAATTTATGAAAAATCAAATACCACTGTCTCAACACAACGTCAATACCATATAGTTCTACAATTGTCAGGAGCCATGTGGGGGTAGCAGGTTTTCAAACAAAGATAGTTAATTTACGATGCTAGATCAATTTAGGTAAACAATGATAGAGCATCATCTCTTCGAGTTGTTAACAATAGATAACGACATGCTCGATATAAAATCGGTACTATTTAGTTAGTCAATTGTTAACATAGGCAAGTGGAGGGTACCGGAGTAATGAAACAAAAACCTGATTTATGATGCCAGATGAAAATTAAATAATCAGAGAAAGAGCATCATGGTTTTAAGTTACAAAAAAATGAACACCAATCGCGACAAAACGTCAATACCATATAGTTCGACATTTTCAGGAGGCATGTGGGGGTAAAAGCTTTTCAAATGAAGATAGATCATTTTAAGACGCTACATCAACCAAAGTAATCAACGAAAGAGCATCATCACTTCATGTTCTTAACAATCGATTACGACATGCTCGATATAATATTGGTACCATATAAATCGCCAATTGTTACCAATGGCGAGTGAAGGGTACCGGTGACTAAAAAAACTCATTTATGATGCAAGTTCCATTATTAGCAATGAAGGAAAGAGCATCGTCAATTCAATTTATGAAAAATCAAATACCACTGTCTCAACACAACGTCAATACCATATAGTTCTACAATTGTCAGGAGCCATGTGGGGGTAGCAGGTTTTCAAACAAAGATAGTTAATTTATGATGCTAGATCAATTTAGGTAAACAATGATAGAGCATCATCTCTTCGAGTTGTTACCAATAGATAACGACATGCTCGATATAAAATCGGTACTATTTAGTTAGCTAAATGTTAACATAGGCAAGTGGAGGGTACCGGAGTAATAAAAAAAACCTTATTTATGATGCCAGATGAATTTTAAATAATCAGAGAAAGAGCATCATGATTTCAAGTTACACCAGTCGCGACACAACGTCAATACCATATAAATTGACATTGTCAGGAGGCATGCGGGGAACAGCTTTTCAAATTAAGATAGACTAGCGTGTAGCGCACCTCCGGTGCTTCGAATTTTCAACATCTCAAAAACGTATTCTTTGAGTGTACTCAGACAGCAATCAATTACAGGGTTCCTAATTACAAACTTTGCAAAGTTTTTTATTTAATTTTTAATACATATTTTGAAAAACCAAAAAACTTTGTGAAGTTTTTTAGAAGTTCTTCGAAAAATTTAAAATGAACTAAGAAACGTCACATCTGGGAAACTGAAAGCAATTGAGCAGTCGCATTTGGACGCAAGATTTGTAACTCCTGAGAGTTATTCTACAGTACCCAACTACTACGTTGGAAAATTCAAATTTTGAGAAAATTCATCTTAAGTTTTCTAAAAACTAAAAGGTGTTCACATCTTGAAAACAACAAAAGTTTCAGCAGTGTTTTTTGATGGCAATATTCGCACTCTTTGAAAGTACACAACTACGGGGTTGGGAATTTCACTTTAACGAATTATTTTTTAAATTGAGTTTTCTGAAAATTTTCAAAAAAATCACAAAAATTGTCGTATCTCTTTAAAAAAATGATTTGGGTGTTCTTAACTGGAGGGCAAACTTCCAACCCCAGAGATTACTCTGACAGCCCCCCAACAACAGGTTAGGAAATTCAAACTTTGAAAAAACAATTAATTTAATTTTCATGAAAACTTTTGTGAAAAAAGCACAAAAAACGTCATAGCTGAAAAACTAAAAGGATTTGAGCAGTCAAATTGGGAGGCAAAACTAGTGAGTACTCTTACAGAGCCTCGCTACAGAGATGAAAATTTCAAGTTTCGTGAAGTTTTTTATATTAAGTTTTCTGAAAAATTTTTAAAGCAAAAAAAACGTCATATCTCAAAAACTACTCAAATTTGAGCACCCATATTCAGAGGCAAGATTCGCGTCCCTTGAGAGTACCCTCACAATATCCAACAACAGGATTGAGATCTTCAACGTTTTGGAAATTTTCAAAATCTAAGTTTTTGAAAATTTTCTGAAAAAATCATAAAAAACGTCATATCTCGAAAACTACAAGGATTTGAGAAGTGAGAGTTGGAGGCAAGATTGGCAACCCCTGAGAAAACCCTAACAGCAAATAACTACAGGGTGAGAATTTAAAACATTGAGAAATTTTCAAAATAAAATTTTCAAGAAATTTTCGAAAAATCTCGAAAATTGCCTATCTCGTAAACTAAAAAGATTGTTTATTCAAATATGGAGGCCAGAATTGCGAAACCTGGGAAAACTCTTACAATATCCTACTATTGGGTTGCTAATTTCAAACTTGAAAGAAACACTGAATTTAAACTGGAAAATTGAAAAAAAAAACAACCATTGCAGTATACGATATAGCTTAAATGTGCAAAAAATTCTTTCGTTAAACATGCAAAAAATACGTTTAAAAAGCTTTAATATGACGAGATAGTGAAGCCCGCATTTAAAAATATAATAGATGAAAGTTGAAAAATCAGGCGGCGGGTAGACAGACATAATCAAATTAATTAAAAAATCAGGTCTACAGACAGACAGACAGACTTAATTTGGCCTTGAAAAAAAATAATGAAAAATTAATGACCTTGCGGAAAAGTAATTGAAAATTTTTCTTAAGCATTGCAATAAATGATATAGCTCAAACATGACAAAATTCTTTCGTTAAACATGCAAAATTATTATGCTTAAACATGGGAGAAAGCTGTGACTTGCATCTAAATTTAGTATAGATAGATAATTTTATGACGCTACATCAATCGAAGTAATCGATGAAAGAGCATAATCAGTTCGAGTTTTTAACAATCGATTACGACATGTTCGATATATTATCGGTACCATATAGTTCGCCAATTGTTATCAATGGCAAGTGGAGGGTACCGGTGATGAAAAAAAAACTTATAATGTAAGATGAGTTATAAGCAATCAAGTAAATATTATCATCAATTCAAATTCTGAAAAATCAAATAAAACAGGATCGACACAAGTTCTATATCATAAGTTCGACAATTGTCAGAAGGCATGTTGGGGTAACAAATTTTCAAATAAAGATAGATAATTTTATGATACTAGATCAATCAAAGTAATCAATGAAAGAGCATCATCACTTCGAGTTATTAACAATCGATCACATGCTCGATATTATATCGGTACCATATAGTTCGCCAATCGTTATCAATGGCAAGTGGAGGGTACCGGTGATGAAAAAAAACTTATGATGCAAGATGAGTTATTTGCAATCAAGTAAAGATTATCATCAATTCAAGTTATGAAAAATCAAATAAAACAGGATCGACACAAGTTCTATACCATAAGTTCGACAATTGTGAGAAGGCATGTTGGGGTAACAAATTTTCAAATAAAGATAGATAATTTTATGATACTAGATCAATCAAAGTAATCAATGAAAGAGCATCATCACTTCGAGTTATTAACAATCGATCACATGCTCGATATTATATCGGTACCATATAGTTCGCCAATCGTTATCAATGGCAAGTGGAGGGTACCGGTGATGAAAAAAAACTTATGATGCAAGATGAGTTATTTGCAAAAAAGTAAAGATTATCATCAATTCAAGTTATGAAAAATCTAGTAAGACAGAAACGACACAAGTTCTATACCATATTGTTCGACAATTGTCAGAAGGCATGTGGGGGTACCAAATTTTCAAACAAAGATAGATAATTTTATGATACTAGATCAATCAAAGTAATCAGTGAAAGAGCATTATAGCAAATGAAAGACCATCATAGGCAAATGGATACAAGTAAAATTGTAGGCAATTTGCTGAAATTAGTGATTTAGCATCAATTTCTTGAGTTTATACCTCAAAACTGGGCATAATTGTTCGATTTGAATTGATAACTATTGAATCGCAAATTTTGGATATTTGCATTCGATTGCGTTCAAATTATCATTCGCTTGCAATAAAAATTAATTATGTCGGTATAACGGATATATAACTATCCTAGATATAAAATCATCTGAGCTCACCATGTGAAGAATTGTTCCAGACACCGGCACTTGTGCTGGACGCGCCGTCTGTTTGTCCCCAGGCACTCATTTGAACAGAATTTTCTCAAAACAGATTTCTCAACAAATTCCAGAAGGCCTAACTATTACAGTTTAGGCAGCAATTTATCTTATATAGACATCCCTGTCTGAAAAAAAAACAAATACAAAACTGTTTTTATAGGAAACGAACATTGTACATAGTCAGTAGCTATTTTGCATCACTCGGTCGAATAAACTTGAGAAATTAAATTGAATTTATGCACAAATAACGTTCAATCATCGGAGAAACAAATTAAATTCTCATTTCTTATCTGCGCTCTTATTACCCAAAGCCATTCGCTTGTTTTCGGCCAATATCTGTTTCTTGAGCGTCTCCTTGTACGACAAAATGTCACCTTCCCAGGCTGTCACTTTCTGGTTCTCGCACACCCAAATCACTTCTGCCACTTGCGAGATGAGTCTGAAATCGTGACTTACGAGCACCATGCCTCCTTCAAAATCATTGATCGCTTCAGCCAATGCATCGATAGTCTCAATGTCCAAATGATTCGTGGGCTCGTCCAACATCAACATATGGGGTCCTTGCATTGCCAGGTAAGCGAAAGCCACACGACATCTTTGGCCATCGGAGAGATGTTTAATTGGACACAATTGGTTCTTTCCAGTAATGCCATACCTTCCAACCATCTTTCTCATGTCATCGCGTTCCTTGATCTCGGGAAACATTTTCATCAGAAAGTCCAGCGAACTCATTTCCATGTCCAAAGTTTCCACGGCGTGCTGATTATACCTTCCAATTTTCAAGTGTGAGTGACGTCTTACTTGGCCTTCAGTTGGGATGCATTCACCTGCCAAGAGTTTGATCAGTGTACTTTTTCCAGCACCGTTTGGGCCCACAAGAGCAACTCTGGATTCCAGGTCCAGTCCAAAGTCAAGATTTCTGTAGATCCAGGGCAGACCTTCTTTATACTGAAATGATACGCTTTGAACTTGAAGCACCGGAGGAGGTAGTTTGGACACTTCCTTGAAGTAAAAAGATATCGTCTTGTCCAGTTGGATTCTCTCTGTCAGTCCTCCGTCAACCATTTTCTTCAGTACTTTCTCTTTGCTCTGAGCTTGTCTTGCGAGCTTTGCCGATCCGTGCCCAAACCTGGCTACGTAATTCTTCATGTGTGAGATTTGATCTTGCTCCTTTTTGTATCTCTTCATTTGATTTTGTTCTAATTCACATCTTGTCTGCATATATGTGTCGTAATTTCCTCCGTAGTAGAGTAGCTTTTTGTTTCTCAAAAGAATCATATTGGTGCACACACCATTGAGGAAATCCTGTGAATGCGACACTAGCAGTAAAATTCTTTTGTAGTTCCTCAATTCTTCTTCAAGCCAGACACACGCCTCTAGGTCCAGATGATTGGTAGGCTCGTCCAACAATAGAATGTGCGGTTTGAGAAACAGAGCACGAGCCAGAGCGACTCTCATTCTCCAGCCTCCAGAGAAATCTTTTAGCTGCTTTGCCATCATAGCTTTATTGAAACCCAGACCATGCAGAATCCGAGCGGCATTTGTTTCTGCACTTGCAGCATCAAGTTCCTCAAGACGTTCGTAGATGTCATTCATTCTTTGAACTAGAGTGGCGTCTGCATCGTCGATAGCCAACAGCTCCTGGACATGAGCTGCTTCATCCTCCAGTCGAAGTCTCTCTTCGTCGCATTCCAACACACACTCCAGAGGAGTTTTATCAGATGCTTCCATTTCCGCTGTCAAGTGGAAAATATCCATATGGTCTGGAATCGGAATCTCACGACACCCAATAACATCCATCACAGTAGACTTTCCGCAGCCGTTCATTCCCATGAACCCATACCGATTGCCAGTGTTCAACTCTAAGGTAGTGTCATTTATAATTTCAATTCCCTGGAAAATGATCGAAAACTGGATGATTTTCAGGTCTCTATTTTCTGGATGTGAGCTCAGCACACCAGTCACAGATCGCCCAGACTCTTTCAGACTGTTTGAATCGAGTTTCATCTTTTCCGAAAGATTTGAACTTAAATCACTGTCTTGGTTGCCTTGTGTGCTTAGGGTAGAATAGCCATCATCGTTATCAGCCTTTTTACCTTCTGGTGATTGACCATTCATATCGTCCCCATTTTCATGCCCGTTGCAGTTTTCAGGAAACTCTTCTTGACCTTCCCCGTTCGCACTGACTGCACCTGCTCCTGGCTTAGTTGTTACTTGTTGTTTCACTTTCTGAGCGGCAGCTTTCTGCTGCTTTCGCTTTTTAGCCGCATCTGAAGGCATGGTTGCAATAAATATTTGTGGTGTCAAACAGATTCGGGCTCGGGCAACAATAGGAGCATAAAAACCTGAAAAAATACAGTAGATTAATTGAAACTGGGACTGCAAACGCGTTATAAATATTCAAAAGAAAACTTAAATTTCAATTAAAAGACAGTTTAAACTGACCCATGACTGCAAAAGAATCAAAAATCAAATCAATCACAGGAGCTGCGAAATCAAAATTTTAAGACATTATACTTATATACTGGAAAAAATTATGCAACCAAATAAGTTTCAAAACTAGCTTCTCTATGAAACCTTGATCATAAAACGTCTTCATTCCTGGCAAACAGAGAGCCACCTAAATCTGAGGATTTTTTTTACAATTTTGAGCCGGAAAAAACAGTAAGTACTTGAAATTTGTTTCATTTTTGAGAAATGCACTTTAGATCATTTTTTCTGTGCGGCTAAAAAACAATTTACAAAAACTGCACGAAAATTTTCAATTAGAGCTTCAAAATGAGCTTTTCTCCAGTACACTAAAACAATTGCGTTTTAGCAGTTTTACACTGAGTACTGTGCTTATTTGTTGACTATTGCACTAGAACGCAATATCTTTCTCCCACTTTTTACTCTGCCCACACCAGAACTTGTCTTTTTAGGCACTTTTATTCCCTGTCTGTGCATTGCACTGGGAGTCGAAAATTGCACTGGCTCTAAGTGGACCACATTGACCTTGCGACGTCTACTTATAATTGGTGGCGATGGGCTATCATGAAGTGAGTTGCATCTTACTTTAGAAGTTCGCTTCGATCTTCTAGCATTGATAATGGGAGATGCATCTTCTGGGTCACTGCTTATTTCAATCAAACTGTCATCGCTTCCTCGAGATGAGCTAGATCTTTTAATTTCCTGCAAGTTACTCATTTCTTTTTCCAATTTCAGATTACTTGCCTTCATGTTAATCAACTCTTGATTCACCCTGGCCACATTTCTCATCTCTTCTTTAAGTTTCTTTTTTTCTTGCTTCATTTCATTGTCGCGCGCTATGAGCATAGTGACTAAGCTTTCAATTTTTTGTTCGGAAGAATCTAAACTTGAAACGTAAGACTGCAATTTGTCTTCGAATGCACTTCCCGTTAAGTGCAGAATCTTATTAGCAGTTTTCAAACGATTATTTTCATTCGCTGCATTCAGGACTCGGTCATTCAAATCTTGATTCACCAATCTAAGACGCTCTTTATCATTTTTGGCATCGCTGAGTTTGGCAGTCATTTCATCAAGCTGTCTTTTCAGATCGGTATTCAAAGATTCTAAATTGTTTTGCGCGTTTCGTGCCTCCGTAAGAGCACTTTGAGCTGAAGTCAATTGTATTTGTAGCAAGACAATTTCATCGGCAGATCCGCCACTAACGATTCTTTGAGATGCTGACGAAGAAACGGGTTCGGACAGCCTGGTCACTTTTGCCTGTTCTACTTTACCCACCGTTACATCACCTGATTCAAACTGCATAAATAGGGTTCTCTGTCCGGACGCAGAGGATAGCTTCCTGCACGTCGGACAATTTCTACCATTTCTATTGTGATGCGAAAACCACGAATTAAGACATTCCTTGTCAAAAACATGTCCACATTGCAAAGCAACAATAGGAGTATCTGAACTAGCCCTGAAGCCAACAAGGCAAATAGCACACGTCGCCATGAGATGAAAATATAACAAATCTGAAAATAAGTAGTATGAAACTGCACTTGAAACTACTCAAGCGTGAAATTGCAGCATTGGACAAAATTAAACGCAAAATTAGAATTTTATTCAAAAAAATCATGTTCTCAAAATTGGCTTTACGCATCATTTAATTCGAATTTCAACAAAATATTTACACAGACACAGAACGAATGGGTCTATCCCATCATGGCCCTCGGAAATTTGTAGATCCCCTAAAATACAAAATTCACTGCTTGAGGTCTACAGTTATTTTTTAGGAGGCTGGAGGGCTATAATGGGGAAAAAACCTAGCAAATGATCAGAGAATCCGTTTGATATTACCATGGGTACATGGGTTTATCAATCAAATCTGGGTCTAACAAAACCAAATTTTTTTAATTTTAACGTTTTTCAAAAAAAAACATGAAATTGTTAAACAACAGAGTTAAGTAAAACAGTAACACTGAAGAATTCAACTTGCTGCTGAGAATGTTTCAGTAGTAGTATTAGGGATTTTTTGTCTCCACACTCGTTTCAGATCATAATATTACTTCTGCAATTGTGCATCGCGCAGTCACATGCAAGCTTCCAAATGCATTTGTTTCTTTCTTCATACAGCTTAAATTTCTTCCAGTACAGCTTAAGTAGGGCACCTATCAAACCAGTCAGGTGTCTTTAATCAATCCTGAGAGCATTTGCAACACGACATTTTTGATAAAAGAAATTCTGCTCCCATTTGCAGTTCAATGGTCTCCTACGATGAAACATAGTGACACGAGAGAACTGTATAAGTATGGATATCAAGCAAATGAGGTTCGTTGCGCTTCCCTTTAATTTTTGCCAGTAATAACAAATTGTTCAATTATATACAGAGGCAAAACTTGTAGCTGTGTTAGTTTCTCTTTGTATGAAGCATTTGTATTTAAAATCTTTGACATTCGACCAGAATGTACGAAAATGCAAAGTCGGAATTCGAATTTTTTGTAACATGAGGCTTAAGAAAAATAGGCCCTATAACTATTGGCTCAAGAGTCAGGGACACTATCTCTTGTGTTTTTCTACCTCAAATCAGTCGGAGCCAATTCGGTTCGTTTGTGACATGAGACTACGACCCGTTACAGCTTAAAGGCTACTACTAAAATATCCCCCCCTCTAGAATTAAGAACGTCCTCATACTTAGGTCTCTAGATACCCAAAATACATGAACGCCGTTAAAAACCGGGTCGGAACAATCCGTTAAGTTACTTTTTATTAGACAGTGGAACTTTGATCCATTTCAGATGGATCAACCTAAAACTCGCCTTACCTCAACATAACAATTATAAAACACACTCTAGAAATTTAAATTAGTACTCACATTGTAGCACGCTCAAGAATCAGGAAGTAAATAAGTCGGTGAGCAACTCAAGAATCAATAAAGTAACTAAAATGAGTTTAATGTTTGTCAGTTTTAATAACAAGAGCAAGTTTGTACTCTAGAATGTCAGTTCTCGTGAACCATTGGGACACTCTAGCTGTCCACCTTTCCACCGAAGGTTCACTCTAGTCCAGTTTAGAATAATACTCCAATCACAACAATCCAATTCGTGGGGATGCGCTCGTCTCTCTTCTAGATGGGACAGCTCTACTCTAGATTATTATCGCTACTGAAATTGCGAATAGCAATTTCCCACTGATTTTTCTAGCAACTTTCCCGCGATTGTCACTCGATTGTTCTGACTTCTCTTTTGTGACTTTCAGTTATCGCGAGAAAATCGTGCTTGACATGCTCCATTCGAAATTTTGAAAAACTTAATTTCACCCCAAAATCAAGTGCTCTTGCTTTTCTCAAGGTCAAACTTCCAAATATGACCGACTGGCACATACTCCCCGGACTCGAGATCGATGTCCTCATCGCGTGCTGTCTTCTGCCAGTGAGTCCCAGAAAACCGAGTGTTACTCAAGATACAGTGCCAGTGGTCATTTACAGAAGTTTGCAGCAGACTTAAGCTTATCTACACCCCAAAATTCACAGCCATGTAAAATTTTCACACTATCGCTAAACAGCAATCAAAATCTGCACACACCTGCACCCTTGAATTCTCGCTTTCCAAGCCAATCATTTAAAATTTCTTTTGTCCTATTCAATCAGGAAATTGTCATGCAGCATTTTGATTTATATAGTAAATATAGTATATTAATAACAATATTTGCTTTGTTAAAATTTCTTTTTCGTGAATCCAAGTTTCACCCGGATCCACGCTCAAGCCCCCTTTCCCTCTCAAGACTCAAGATCCATTCGAGCCACCTACTCATCTCGCACTCTTCGCCTTGGAGGTACTGCACCCTGAAGTACTAGATACGGCAAACTGTCTCAACAGTTCCTCTTCATCATCGGAGCTAATCACAATCTCCTCCCAAGCCTTCAGCTGTTCGTAGGATCGCATCCATTCTCTTTGCTCTTGATAAACGAGAGATTTTCAGAAATGACAACGTGCACGTGGCAATTATTCTGTGATTGTATCACGTGCAGAAACAAGTGGACATTGTTTTAGAGAAGACGCCGGGACCAAGACTCCCAACAGCAGTGCTGTGAATCCCCAACAACAACAACAACAACAACAACAACCTCTTTGCCTGGTTGGGTAGTGCCTTCACCCTAGATTCCCGGTTCAAACAAAAGGAGTTGTGCAGGCTCATGCTCACGTTCTTCGCCAGGTCCTCCTCTAGTATCGATTCCCTCGCCTTGGTATTGTCTCTAGACATTTTACCCACTCTCTTCCATCCTGTCGTGATTGCATTACGATGGGTTAACAGGGGTCTCTTGAAAGCTTCCGGCCCAATCTCGGCCTGGAACTGTCGATACTCCTTTTGATGTTTTCTCATGTGATCTTTCGTTGTCATGTACAACCAAGACGTCAGCGTCGCCCGAAACCATGGGAAGTACCTCAAACGGCTCCAGACATGTCTGACTTCCGTTGGTATGGCGAATACCTTGCACGCAGTCTCAAACAACTCGAGTCTCCTACTGTAGTCTATCGCGTATATTGACTCAGCCGTTGGCGTCCCCGCTTCCCGATACTTCGTTATATTCTCTTCTATCCATCTCAGAGCCAACATCGTACTCACTACCAAGAGCGTCAACTTCTGTCGGTGATCCGGTAGTCCGATCGACCGGATTTCTTCCATATCCCACACCAGGCAAAGGTTCTTGTGATCTGGATACCACACCGTTTGCGCCAAACAGTGGCATGGGCAATCTCCATGGGTGATCTCAATGCTCCTGAGGTTACGCTCCCCCGAGGCTTCCAAGAGAGGCTCAAGCTCCATCATTTTCTCATGCATCGTGTCGTTATCTTCCAGGTTTGGAGCACTTCCCACAGGTTTTCCGATCACGTT